ACAAAGCAACACTGACTAATTCAGATGCAGGACTGCCTAGCACACAGGCAGGGCGACCTCCAGCACTGCAAAGTCGACCGCGCTCCAGCACTGGAAAGTTGCGACTTGCCAACGCAGCAAGTCGGCGGCCTGCCAGCGCTGCACGACGGCGGCTGCCAACGTAGCCAATCGGCTTCCTAGCGTTGCAATGGCAGGTGACAACAGCATCGTGGTGTAGCGCTGACAGGCCGACTTGATGGTGCTACGTTGGCACCTGGTTGCAGGTTCTTGCAGACGGTTGGTGCAACATGCACCGTCACATGCACAACTCAGGTGTCAAGTCGGCTACGTGCCGTTGACTGCGCCTGATGAGCCACGTCGACCTCGGGATACCTCTCCGGGGTCGGCTTCGCCAAAACCTCCTGTAGGACGGTTGCGCACCCCGCAGAACCTCGTCGCCCTGGTAACTTGGTCGACCAGGAAACCACCAAATCGATGTCGACTTGCGTGGCCGATGTCGACCAACTGCTATACGTGCTCGTCGACCACCCAGGTCGACGGCCACCCGCCGACTTCACCAAGTTGGCCACTTCATAGGTCGACCAACTCCAAGTCGACCACACCAGCTGTCCGCCGACCCCTCCAAGTCGGCCTCCCAAGGTTGGCCTCCCAAAGTCGGCCTCCCAAGTCGGCCTCCCAAGTCGGCCTCCCAACCAGGTCGACGAGTCCCTTTGTCGACCACCAGATTGAAGTCTGCCGCCGGCTTCCCGTCCCCGGCAGCTTCGCAGTGGCCCCGTGCAGGTCGACCAACTCTGTCGACCTGCTCGCCCATGTCGGCGTCGCCCACTGCAGACGGTCGGCTGCACCTCCCGCACACCCGAGCACAAAGTCAGCTCCGCCCAAGCAAGGACGGGGCCAACTCCCGTCAACACTCCCCTGCCGCGTTCACGCTTGGGCACCCCACACACTAGGGCCGCCCAGAACCCAAAGGACATGGTACACGGAGAAAGGTCCTTGTCGGCGTATACACAACACACAGCACACCGTGTCACCGCACCAGCCGTGCAGAAGGGCACGGCACCTACTGCTGCACGTCGTCGTCACCGTCGCCGACGTCAGCCAGACGTACGTGGCCGATTGCGATGGAGCACCAGTTGAAGGGCGGAAAGTGCAGCGCCTTCGTCAGAAATTCGGCCAGCTGCTCAGTGGTCGGGATGTACCACAGTACGAACTTCCCGCGCTTCACCATCTGCTGCAGCCAGGCGTAGCGTCGCTCCATGTGCTTGAGGTTGCGCTTCAGCCCCAAGCCTTCAGCGACCGTGATGGCCGACGTGTTGTCCATACGGAGGAAAGTCGGCGTCCCAGCGTCCAGCAGCTGGAACTCGGCGAGGAGGAAACGGAGTCGGCGTGCCTCCTTTCCGGCTTCGGTGGCCGCCACGTACTCCGACTCGGTCAACGAGAGTGCCGCGCACTTGATGCGTCCAGGAGACGGCGGCCCCTCCGAAGACAAACACGTAGCCTCCCGTTCTCGTCCGGTTCTGCTTGTCGCCGGCGTCGTCGGCGTCCACGTAGCCGACATGCACCGCTCTGGTCTGCCGCTAAACTCCAGGGCGGCGTCATGGGTGTCGGCGAGGTAGGCGAGGCAGCGGTCGACCTCACGCCAGTGCTCGTCGCTCCTCACTGTCAAGCCGCTCCCCAGCTTGCTGCACGCGAAGGTGATGTCCGACCTCGTCGTCGTCGCCACAAACTGCAGCGAGCCAACCTTCTGCCGGTACTCTTCCTCCTCGCGTGCTTGGGCGTCCTCATTGTCGAGGAGACCTGCGTCTTTAGGATCCGACCGCCTTACTCCTCGTCAATGAAACGCCTGCGCAGCTTGTTGACGTAGGTCTGCTGGTGGAGCCATAGCTTCCTTGTTGGCCTGTTGCGCACGATCTCCAGCCCGAGGTACTTCTCGGCCGGCAAGATCTCGCGCAGCTCGAAGGCGGCCTCCAGCAGCTCCTTCAACTTCCTCAGCATTGCGGTACTGCTGCTCGTGAAGGGCACCAACTTCGGCTGGTCGACTTGGGAGGTCGACCAGTAGAGGGCGTCGACTTGGGTGACGCCGACCAGGGGAAGCCGACTGCTCCTGGTCGGCTGACAGGTGTACTGGTCGACCTGGAGTTGGTCGACCAGGTGGGTTGTCGACCTGGAGCTGGTCGACTAAGGGTGTGGTCAACCTGGTGTGGTCAACTGAAGGTGGTCGTCGACTTGGGAGGTCGACGGACACACGAGGAAGCAGCTGGTCAACGTGGTGGTTGCCCGGTTGACCAGGTTACCTGGGTGACGAGGTTCTGCGGAGGAGTGCGACGGTCGCCCAGGTGGTAGTGGCGAGACCGACCTCGGTGGTGGTATCCCGAGGTCGACGTGGCTGGTGGGCGCAGTCGCTGGCGTGGAGTCGAGCTGGGCGTCTGCGCTGTGCACGTGACAAGGAGAAGTGCACCAACCAGCTGCATGCACCTGCGAAGCAGGTGCACCGTTGTTCTGCGGGCGCAACGCTGTGCAGCCGACTTGCTGCAGCGTTGGCACACCGTGGACTTGCAACGTTGGCAAGCCGCGACTTTGCTCTGCTGGAGCGCGGTCGACCAAGTCGTGCTGGCACGCGGTCGACCGTGCTGCGCTGGAATTCGACCAGCAACTTTGCTAGGTCTGATGTAGTCTTGCATGCCAATGTTGTTGCTACCATTGTTCTCAACTTTTGCTAGTGAAACTCTTGCAGTTTTGCCACAAGTGCTAGAGAACGACTAAGTGAACGAACGCAGAGATGCCTCCTACCCCGTGCCTAGCCCGTAATCTATCTCCCGTTGATAGAGTTATCTCCGCATGGTGCGGTGAGCGTGGACGGCTCACGACTTACCCCTTCAGTCAGGTCGACGTATTGGGCACTTACCTAATTCGTGTTTGTAGGCCGGCAGCTATACGGTAGTCACTATGGTAGGCGCCGTAGGTGACGCAGGAGTGGTGGACACCCTGGAGGCACGGCTGGAGGACGCGAGGAGACGCCATGAGGCCAACGAGTACGGGCCAAACCTACCGTTGGCGGTCATCGAGGCAGGCATCCGCTCGGTGTGGGCGGAAGAGCACCCTGCTCGACCAGCTTCTCCTCGACCGGTGAACAACGAGGGCGGCGTCAACGTGGGAGTCAACGCCAGTGGTGACCAAGTCGGCAGCAGTGCGGGAGGCGCGTCGAGGCAGCGAGGTGTGATACACGCCGATGAAGTCGGCGGCGTTCAGGGGCGAGGGATGCGGTCGTCGACGGCTTGAGGCACCTCACAAGGCGACGTTGGAGGTCGACGAAGCAGTTTGTCGCCGATGTCAGCGACCCACGTGACAGCAGGCGGGATTGCACCGAGCTACGGCTACTTCAAGTTTACGCCGGACCGGATCTCAGTCACCCCCCTGCTTGTTGGTCGACCTGATATCCTCACCTGGAAGGAAGCCATCGAGCCCCAGCTGGAGATGGCCGGGCTGATCGGCTTCGCCAGGGGCACTGTGGCGACGCCAGAGGAACACTACCCCGACTTACGTGCGGAGTTTCGCGCTGTGCAGTTGCTGACCTTCACGGTCAGCTCGCGGTGCTGCTCGCCGGGCGTGCAGATCGCCTTGAAGTCGTGCAGGGAGTACCTCGACGCCGGCCACCGGGCATGGCACTTCATTGAGTCGACGTACCAGGTCACCGACGACCTGTACATCGGCCAGCTTGAGGAGCAGCTGTCGCACATACGGATGGGCGAAGAGGAGACGACGACTGACTACTGCAAACGGGCTCGGCGAATTCTCGCCACCATGAGGATGGCCGGCGTGCACTACTCGACGGCGTCGTACCTCACGCACGTTATCAAAGGGCTTACGAGCAACTACGACCTGCTGAAACGACTGTCGTTGGCGCCGAGTACTAGGGCGACACTCAACGAGGATTCTCTTACCTCGTACATCCTGCAGGATGAGGCGATGCAGGAAGCTGAGCGGCCCTCGAGCTCCTGGCGCAGGTGAACTACGTCGCCCTGGTGAAGCAAGGTGGTCGACCTGGGCAGCGTGGGCAGTCTGGCGGCGGTAGTAGCAGTGGCTGGAAGCCGAACAAGGAAGCCGACAAGAAAATGTCGGCCAAGGATAGCGGTCGTGGAGGAGGAAGTCGACGTCGGGAGTGCTTGCTGTGCGGCGACCCCGACCACCTCTCCTTCGAGTGCCCCGACCACAGTGACTGTGACAACGACGCCGCCAAGGGAGGCCGCGGGAGGTCTGGCAGCCGTCGTCCCCATCGAGGCAGAAACCAGCCGTGCAAGGAGAAGCAGTCGACCAAGTCGTCGACCTCGGCGAAGGACGCCGAATCCTCTGCTGGCGGCAAAGGGCGAGACGACCAGGAGGCGTCGTGCTCGCTGGTCGGCGTCGTGGAGCCGACCGTCTCGTTGGCGTCGGAGGCTGGCGAGGACTTCTAGGCGATGGCGGCAGCCGTGCAAGCCAACCCGGCGGTAGTTTTGCTCGAAAGTGGTTGCTCCCACCACTTGATGGGGACGAAGGAGGTCTTCGTCGACCTGCAGCCGAGCGGTGACGTGAAGCACGTGTGTGGCTTCAACGGGGCTCTGCAGGACGTCCAGGGTCGGGGCACGGTCGCCTTGCAAGGGAAGGCCGGGAAGCAGGTGCTGATCCCCGACGTGCTCTACGTTCCGGGCGTGCACGCGAACCTGCTGTCGACTGGCCAGCTGAAGGAGAACGGTGTGAGGATGCAGGAGGACGGCGACGAGATGCTTCTTGTCTCGGTGGCAGGGGACGTCCTTGGCCGGGCGTCCTACATAGGCCGGGTCCTCTGCACCGACCTGCGTCCTTGCTCGGCGAATTCGACTTCGCCTATGACGGATGTGGTGGCCCTGAGGGCGATAGTCTCGGCGACGAAGTCGACCCCGGACAGACTACATGCGAGGCTTGCGCAAGTCGCCATGGACACCATCCGGAGCTCGCATGTGGTCATGGCTCGGATTTGGGGTTGGATGGGTAGTGTCATGTTGCATGGGCATGAGAAGGGTGGCAAGCTTGATGCACGCGCCGTCATGTGTGTATGTGTCGGGGTGGACATGGAGAGCAAGGGTTGGCGCATGCTGGACCCTTCTCTCATGCGCATTCGCATTGCTCGGAATGTTGACTTTCTTGAGAATGGGACGTGGAAGGATTGGGACAAGGCCAAGGGCTTTGGGGAGCTTCTGCAGGATGCAGCTGAGATTTCTCAGCTCCTCCCCCTTCCACTCTCGCCACCCTCAGCAGTGGGTGATGACGTTGATATGCCACTTTCATCACCACCACCGGCACCGCTGAGTGTGTCGCTGCAGCAGCAGCCCGCCCCTCTGCAGCAGCTCAGCGGCCCCTCGGTCATTCGTCGGAGATCCGCTACCCAGGCTTCTTCCTCTTCCTCCTCCTCTGGTCAGCGTCCTGTCAATCTCTCTACGAGTGCACCTACGTCACCAGCGACTACCTCCCCACCACCGGTTACGGGTTTGCAGGTGCTTGGTATCCAGTCTGGTACAGGTGGTGAGGAGGCAGGGGGGGATGCTGGAGTGGTTGATGGTATGATGTGCTTGGCCAAGGAGGTGGAAGGTGTTGCACTAGCAGGTGCGAGCACCAGTGATGTCCCACGCACGCTCGCTGAGGCACTGCGCAGCCCTCAGGGCCCTGCATGGAAGGCAGGCGCTGAGATAGAGGTGAATGCCATGCGCACCATGGGTTTATGGGATCCAGAGCCGGTTGACTTACCTCCACATAAGAAGGCCATTGGGGTCAAGTATGTTTTCCGCAGGAAGACTGACGAGGAGGATAAGGTGGTACAGCACAAGGTTCGCCTTGTTGCTAAGGGGTACACTCAGAAGCCCGAGAAGGATTTTGATCAGGTATTTGCTTCTGTGGGCAAGCTCACCTCAGGTCGGGTGCTTCTTGCAGAAGTCGCGGTAAAAGGGTGGCACGTACAACATGAGGATGTTGATCATGCTTACCTCAATGCAGTTCTTCAGGAGGAGGTGTATGAGAGGCAGCCTGAGGGATTTGATGATGGTACAGGTAGAGTGTATCGCTTGCGCAAAGCTCTCTATGGGCTCAAGCAAGCGCCTCGTGCCTAGAATGAGGAGATTGGCACTACCTTGATTGCAGCAGGGTTTGACCGCAGTGCATGCGATGAGGCTCTGTACATCAAGTTTGTGGATGGAGAGCCAGTCTTTGTATTGGTGTATCTGGATGACCTCTTGCTTGTGTCTCCACGCTTGGAGCTGATCGGTCAGATCAAGGAGGTGCTTGCTGAGAGGTACCAGATGAAGGATCTAGGTGAGGTATCCACGTACCTTGGTGTAGAGGTTCGCAGGTCGGTCAAGGATGGGTGGTTGGAGATTGGCCAGGAGAAGTATGTCTGTGGTCTTCAGGGAAAGTTTGGTGATTTGCTGAAGGAGATACATAGGGTGCATACTCCCATGTCACCCAATGATCTCTCTAAGATCAGGAAAGGTACTTGGTCGAGTGAGGAAGGCGCTGCAGCTGATGTCAAGGTGTACTAGAGTCTCATTGGCAGCTTGATGTATGCTGCTGTGACTACCCGTCCTGACATGTCCTTCACTGTCAACACCCTTGCACAGTCCTGCATGGCACCAAGACGCATTCACACGCGCCCTGCACTGAGAGCACTCAGGTACTTGGTCGACACAACTGATCGTGTCATCAGGTATGAATGCCAAGGTGGTGAGCAGGTTGTTGGGTACACCGACTCGGATTGGGGTGGTGAGACTGATGGCAAGAGTCGCTCTGCCTACATCTTTAAGTTTGGAGGAGGAGCTATCAGCTGGTATAGCAAAAGGCAAGATAGTGTTGCAGCAAGCGTTTCTGAAGCTGAGTATAAGGCTCTGTCGGAGGGGGCCAAGGAGGCCATTTGGCTGAGGAGTTTGTTGGCAGAGATGCATCTGGGCGATGGGGGGGCTATTCCATTGTTCTGTGATAATGAGGCTGCTGTCTCCCTTGCCCACAATCCCGTTCTCCATCAGCACACCAAGCACATTAAGGTGGCTTGGCACTTTGTACGGGATGCGGTGTGCCAGCAGGAGGTCGAGGTGCACTCAGTACGCTCCCACCTTCAGGATGCCGACATGCTCACCAAAGCTCTCCCAAGCTTGCAGCATGAGAATCTTGAGCGCATCGGCATGCGACTGATGGCTTCAAAGGCCAAGGCTTCATTCGCTAAAGGAGTTGTGTTTTGATTGATGGGTGAACTTGAATGCTTATTGGAGCAAGGGGGGGTGTTGGAATTATGGTTAATTCGGGTTGCTCCAAAAAACATATGTAGTGCTAGATCTACATTATAGTCGTGTAGAATACATTGGTTGGGTTGGGAAAACTTGTGGTGTACACTCTTTAGAGTGGACCACCTCCCAAACCCTATAGGTTAGGGTTCTCTTTTGTTGGAACTTCACTTCTTGGGAACCCCTTTGGTTCTAGCATGGTTCATGCCCAAGTTGACTCCTAAGATTCCTAGGCTTTAGGAGGAGGTTCTAAGACTACTATAGCTTCCGCTAGTAGCTTAGACCATTCTAACATTATTGCCTATCCGGTCATTGTCTTGTTGAGACATGTTTCAATGCAAGTGCTCGTTTTTTCAAACGCTGGTATACATGCGAAAGGTTGCCCACGTTTAGTGTTGCCCAAAGGGGTCAGTGTACACTTACAAAAAAAAGGTTGAAAATAATATAAATGACACAAGGAAAAGGCTGAAAAATCAGCCCTGGCTTTTAGAGGAAGTCTGATGAATTAGCCAAGGTAAGAAACAGAAGTCAGTTCTACTACACTGAATCAACACAAGAAAACGGAAACATCAGGGCCTGGTTCAAACCAATTTGAGGTGGTAATCATGGCACACAAATAAACTTGGCCCCTACACTCCCAGCACACTTCTTCTCATTGTACATATAGTATTTTGAAATCGCTCCATTTACAGCTCCACCATAGAAGCTGTAAGCACCCGAGCACATCAATGATGGCGACAACGAATGGCCAGTACTCTGCTCTCAGGCAAATCTGCAATGGTGGCATTCACAAACACAACCAACGAAGGAACATGTATGAAAACGCACAGATAAGATAAGAACAATATTCTCAACGAACAAGCAAGGGCAAATATTTGGAACAAGAACATACATTTGGCATATGAGAAATGACCCCTTGCCCCCTCACCCATCAAATGTACGTCTAGTCCACAAGTTTCCCCTCCATCTTTCCCTCTCATCTCTTGCGCCCCCCATCTTTCTTCCTCTCCAACCCTTACCTGCACGCCAGTGTTGCTGCCAACAGCGGAGGTGGAGGCCGGGATGACATTGGAATAGATGAGGCCGGGATTGTTGCGGTACAGCTCAGCCCAGCGCATGGCATTCACCTTCCCAGCCCCCGTGGGTTCGTCCTCGTTCCCCGCCACCTGCAGCAGCAGGTGCTCACACGTGTCCTGTGCTGTGAGCACGCCATATCGCAGGTATCGAGGCACAGTGAAGGTGAAGGTGGCGTTGCGCTTGATGCACAGAGAGCGGCCCGCCTTGATGAGCCCAGAGCAGTCAAGGCTGGGATTGAGAGCTGTGAGGTTGCTGGTGGTGAGGCCCAGCTGGGTGCTGATGGACCAGCATGTGTCGCCCTGGAGGGTCGAACAACGGGAGTGAGGGCGGAGGTGGCCGAGGTGAATGGAGCGTGGCTTGACTATGAGAGCGGAGCCAAGCAAAACGGAGTGGAAAATTCTAGAGGAATGGTTTGATGAGATTTTATACAACGACAAAAAACAAAAAGGGGTAACTCTCACATTGAGGGTGTAGAAGAACGCAGTGCAGGGAACGAGTAGAGGACTTCCCAGCTGAAGCACCATGTTACGAGGCAAAGCTTGATTGCAGTCAATGACCTGCAATGCGGAGCACAGATAGTTCTTCATACCGTTCAGGGGATGGCATACCGTTTGCATGATGAGCTAGCTAGTAAATGGAGAGAGGAGCGGTCCAATACGCATGGGGTGGAGTCGTGCGCGGCAACTTTTAAGCCAGAATAAACCTTCAGCAGCTTGCACGCAACGTCGCTCTCACGTTTGCCACTTTCCTACCAGCTCGTGCAACCCTCTTTAGGTGCCTGCACCTTGAGCCAGGGTTGGCCCGACCCAGGCCGGCCCCGGCCCAGTCCGCATGTGGTTCCAGGGCCGCGGCCCGGGATTCTTGACAGGTCGGCCCGAGACGGCCCAACGAGAGGGCCGGCCCCACCGGGCCGGTCCTGGGCCGGCCCTGGCCCCGCCCGTGCTCATGTGTACTGCTTACCGCATTCTCCTGCGTGAATTGGGCAAGAGAGAGGCCCACAATAGGGAGAACATCGGAGCACCACCAGTTGCTCCCACTCACGGCCAGGGTGCTGGTTGTGACGTTGGCTGGAAAGGAACGAATGTGAAATCAGAGGAACAGACCCATCTGAAGGGCTTCAATAGAAACCAACCTACTTGTTTGTGCATCACATGGGTGGACAGTGGAAGCAGTTTGTGACGAGCCAAACATATGGTGCAAGAATAGCTGAATGAAGTTGCGACCCTCTTGCAAAAAAGGCCCAGCCAGCAGCAACTGGGTCGCAGGTGGGGAAGCCGTCAATTGTTGTGCTTCCAACGTAGTTGGAAGGGCATTGGAGGAGTAGGAGCCCTTGCCATCGTTGATGCATGCGACCACGTAGCACGGGTTCTTCGAGTCAGACCCACACACGTCCACTGCCAAGCAACACAAACACAGTAATGAAGCACAGCTTTGAGAGAAATACACGTGTTGGGAGCAACAGGAGGAGAGCGGGATGGATGAAGAGGAGAGAACGAATGTATAACGATCGGAGAAGCCCATTGTTCTGAAGACGGCCATTGTTTTGACAACGACCATGGGTCAAAGTTCTTATCTTAGAGCAGAAGCTTCACAACTTACAGTAAGCACACGTTTGGGAGCCATATCCGTTCGTAACTTGAAAAAATGGCTGCTTAGACTCGTTGGGAATGGAACAATCACACGCGTTGCTGATGTTCCGTAGGTTAGCCCGGCATGTGAACCGCCCACACGGGTTCATGCTAGGTTGCACTTCACCATCACCCTTGAAGCTCCTCTGGCCGCATGGGTCCTTGGGGACTGAAGGGTGGTGCAGACAAGAACAAGAGGAGTAGAAACAAGTGCGAATGCAGCTTCATTGGGAAAGGGTGTGGGCAGGAAAGGTGGAAACCGCGAGTTGGCGATTGACCACTTTACAGCTTTGTGGACAGCATTGGCTCACACTCCCTTCTCTCTGTTGACAGTTCCTCCACCCCACGCCATTTCCTTAGTCGAAATTTGAGGCCATCTTCTAGACTAAAGATTGACCCTAATATAGTTGACCATGTGATGTACTCAAAGGGTGGGATTGACAAATGGGGAGAGCGATGGGGAATGTTTGCCCCCCTCAAGACCACAAGGTGGATGCCTCACTCTTGACAATGGGGTAGATGCCAGGCAGCACGTTGATGCCACACATGCCATTTCCTCCCTGAATGTCCATGCGCATGTGGCCCCGGTCACCCCACTCCACTCCCCACGAGTTGCGGAGAATCCAAAATGGCGGCGCAATGCGATTTTGACTCCCGTCATTTCTCAAGAAAAAATAGCCAATAACGAGTACGACTGGTTGAGTCTGCCGGTATAGCAGCCAGGATCCTGGTACTTGAAGGTCTGACAAGGAAGGGGGCACCACAATATACAACATACTACAAACAACAAACAGCGACTTCAGGCATACAGCTTAATGTGGGTACAACTGTGAGTTAGTTTGTATACCCACAGCTTAATGCGGATAACAACTTCCTTAACTCTCGACAAAAGCAAAATAGTTTCTTGACGGGCCAAAAAAAGATAGACCCACCCCGTCATATTGTGCAAAATCCAGCGCAGAGATGAGGAACAGCGGCCGCAAGGAAACCAAGCTCGAACTGCCTGTTCTCGAGAACCTCCAGGGGGAAGACATGAGCACCCCCACAGGACGGAGAACGAGCAGTGCTACTCACCAGGTGAGTGGCGTAGTCAAGGCGGTGGGAAGAGGCAAAGCCAGCGACAGTGGTAGCAAGAGCCGAGACAGACAACAGGGGGGCACTCGGGTGAGTGACCAACGCGGACAGAACACGGGAAACGACAGGACGGGAGGCACGGATGTAGTCGGACAACTGGTCATGAAACACAGTGAGGGACGACTCAGGAGGCTGTGGAAGGACTGGAGGAGGTGGAACACAAGAGCGGAGAACAAGGTGAAACGGCCCGTCCGCACGGTAACGGGACCGACGGGGCTCTGGAGACACAGCACGACCGAGGGGAGAACGACGAGTCCACGGGGACAAGGAAAGGGACTCGACAGGGGGAACAGGAGGGGACAGCAGGGGACCACGAACCAAGCGTGCATGTGCAGGGTCAGGCAGGTCGCGCTGTCGCAGCTGCTCCGCCTCCTCTGGCGTCTGCTGCGACGGCACCTGCCCCTGCTGCTGCTCCTGTGGCTCCTCCTCTGCCCTCTCCTGCTGCGGCTGCAGCTGCGCCTCCTGCTGCGACCGGGACTCTTGTGCTACCCTCTCCTGCTGCGGCTGTGACTCCTCATCTACTCTCTCCTGCTGCGGGTGGAACTGCACCTGCTGCTCCAGTCGTGACCCCTCCTCTGCTCTCTCTTGTTGCGGCAGTGACTCCTCGTATGCTCTCTCCTGCTGTGGCTGTGGCTCCTCCTCTACCCTCTCCTGACGCTGCGATTGAGACTGCTCCTGCTGCCGCTGCTGCTGCTGCTGTTGCTGCTACTGCTGCTGCTCCTGCTGCTTCTACAGCTGCTGCTCTCGTGCCCTCTCAAACCGCTCCTGCTCCTCCCTCTCCAACCGGATGAGACGCTGCTCACGGGTCAGGAAACGTACAGTGCGTGGTGTAGGCGCCACACTGCCAGTGCCTCCGGCTCCAGTATCCCCAGAACCAGCAGCTCCACCACCGACACCCCCGGTGCCTCCAATACCTAACGCAGGAACACCCCCAGGCTCCGAACCAACCGGCCGCAGAGAAGAACGAGGAGGGAACTACGGGACGGACGGGAAGCCAGGGGTTGACGCGGAGCGAGGCCGCCGAGTCGAGGCTGCCGTGTCCTCCACGGGAGTGACCTCCACGCCCACACCTCCTGCACCCCCAGAGCCGACACCACCAGCTCCAGCAGCCCCGGTACCCTCACCCTCCGCAACTGCACCTCCCGCACCCCCAGACACGACAGTGACTGGATGCTGTGTGGGGGACGACTGCGGAGTGACGTGCGACACACCTGATGGGGCAGGACGCAAAGGGGGGGGGGGGGGGGGGGGGGGGGGGGGGGGTACTGGGGCGACTGGGGGGGGCTCAAGGGTAAGGAACATCGGGGGGGAAAAGACCTCAGTACCTCGGTGGGGGCGACTCCTGTAGTAACAGACAGACTCATCGAACGTGACGTCCTGCGAAGCGAAGAACTGGTAGGTGACCGAGTCGTAGAACGCCCAGCCGGAGGCGTCCAAAGGGAAGCCAAGAAAGACGCAGGCACGAGTGCGCGGAGACAACTTGTTCGCGCCAGGGGCGCGAACGTGAGTCAGAGAACCCCAGACGCGGAAGTCAGCTGCTGCGCCCAGAGAACCTGTCCAGAGGGAGACCGGCGTCACCCGTGGCCGTGCGTCACTGGGCCACAGATTCAGCTGGTGCGCAGCGTAGCGGACTGCCTGAGGCCACAGGAACTAGTTTGACAGTCGGCGGAAGCGAGGGCACAAAGAAGAGAGGAGTGATCAGGTTCGTCGACGTCGATGTCGGCAGGAGCCACGCGCGAGAGCAATGGTCGACGGCGGCCGCTGGCAGCTCGCGTGTCGACGTCGACGGACGACGTCGCTCTCCTCAGTGAAGCTGTGGGAGGCCCACGTCGATGACGAATGTGATCGCGGGCGGGATCGTATCGGCGTACGGCTACTTCAAGTTTTCACCGGACAAGATCGCCTTGCCTGTGCCTGGGAATCGATTGAGCCTCAGCTGGAGATCACCGGGCTGAAGGGTTTCGCCGATGGCGACGTGCCGACGCCCAACGAGGACGACGTCGAGCTGCGGGCAAAGTTCCGCGTGGCTGACTTGCTGACCTTCATGGTCATCCCGAAGTGCTGCTCGCCGATGGTGCAGATTGCTCTCAAGCCGTGTTGACTTCGACTGCACGCATGCCACCAAGCGTGGCGGTTCATCTTGTCTACTTACCAGGCGACGGACGACCTGTTCATTGGCCAGCTGGAGGAGCAGCTTACCCACCTCAGGATGGGAGAGCAGGAGTCGGCGACGGACTACTGCAACCGTGCTTGACGGATCCTCGCCGACATGCGGATGGCGGGCGTCGACTACTCGACGGCGTCGTACATCATGCACGTTGTTAAGGGTCTCCCGAGCGGCTACAACCTCATGCGCCGTGGACACCCTCACCAGCCACATCATCAAGGATGAGGCGATGCGGGAGGCAGGACGACCCACGGAGATCCTTCTGCAGGCCAATTACGCCGCCCCGACGAAGCAGAGTCGTCAGCAGGGGCAGCGCGGGAAGCCAGACAGAGGTGGTAGCGGATGTGGGAGGTCGACGAAGGACGTGGACCAGGCAAAGTCGACGCGGTGTCACTGCATATGCACTTGATGCATATGCAATGGCAGTAGTATGAGGTTGTAGGAGGCAGGATAGGAGATAACCGTATATGCACTTATTGCATATACAACAATATTAGCATGTGATGTAGAATGTAGTGTAGGGACTGTTGCAATAGGCAAAGAAGGGGGAAACTGAAAAGGGACGGTTGGTTTGAGGGGGAAAAGCACCGAGGGGCGAAATGGGAAACCAAATCCCAACCTCGAGCCGCACATTGGGAAACGTGCAGCCTGAGGTTGGGCTAGGTAAGGTCCCTCACGCTCACCCACTCGATGCTTGTTTTCTGTTATTCTCTCGTATCAGTGAAAGTTGGCTCTCTAGCTCTTAGCACACAGAGGCACGCCACCAGGAGGGAACTAGTGGGGTGAGGGAGTGATCTTGTTCATAACAGAAAACAAGCCTAGACGCGTAGAATGGATAAGTATGAGTTGCGCTGGGGTAGAGTCTTCAGCCGCCGAGAGGAGGAACGGCCGCGGCCTGGGCCCTCACAAGAGCGCGGGCAGTCCCTAGAGCGATCGCCCAGGAGGCCAGCCTTCCGCGTGGATAGGATTCCCGTCAAGCCGGCCCGACGGGAGGGAAGTCTGGCGCACGGCGAAGTGAGCGGCGAAAGGTTCGCCGCGTCGACGAGCGGCGCGCCGTGGCGGAGAGATACATTCCACCCGACAGGAGGAGAACATCGTCATCACCTCGACAACGGGGTGTTCCGCTTAAGGGCAGCGACGTGATGAGCGAGGTCGCTGGCGGGGACGGGAAGAGCCCCTGCGCGAACGAGGAGAAGGCTCTGGCGTCAGCAGAGCCGAGGAAGCTTCACGGGCCGACCGGACGCGGGAGGAGACGCATGAGGACAAAGCGAGGGACGAGGGGGACGAGCAGGAGCACGTTTACGAACAGGCGGGCGGGGAACATCACGTCCCAGTCGAAACCGAGGAGGAGGAGTACGCGCCGACCAACGGAGCCGCCGACTCAGCTGAGGCAGCAGAAGAGGAAGTGGATGAGGGGCGCGCGGAAGAGACCCACGCGGAAAGTCTCGACCGCCTGGGAGGACACCGCTCAAGCGGCGCGCCGCAGCAGGAGCGCCAGAATCGAGAGGAAGAGGCGCGCACGTCACAGATGCGGGGATCGCGCGGAGGAGGAGAAGCTGAGCGCCCGCGGACGCCAGAAGGCCAACGACGGCGTGCGGGGCAGCGAAATGGAGGCTCGCGCTCGCCCAGGGGACCCCAGCCAAGAACGGAGCGGCATGGCGGCAGGGTGCAGACGCGGGGAGGAAGACAGGAGAGCGAGGTGCGCTCGGCCGATCGACAGCTGGCACCTGGGGGAAGACGAAGCCCGGATTCTCGCTCACCTGGGCCGCAGTGGCAGCAGAAAGGGCGACGGAGGGGAGAATCACGCTCGCCGCGTCAACAGAGGCGGTGGGAAAAGAGGCCCAGCGGCGACTCGCATTCGCCAGACCGACGCCGCCGGCGAGAGGAAAGGCTGGACGAGGTGAGACACTCACCGCCTGGCCATCGGCAGCAAGGAAGGGGAAAGGAGGAATGGTCACCATCCCCGGCGATGCGTCAACCGTACGAGACACGCCGAGGAGATTGGGAGAGGAGTCACCACTCGCCGGCTTGGCGGTGGGAGCGGGCGGGAAGGGAGGACAGTCGGTGGAGACAACAAGGCGAGGCGCGCGGAGACCAGCAAGAGAGTAGGGCCAGGAGCGGAAGCCTGGCGTACGGGGCTGAGCGGGCATGAGAAGCTCGAGAAGGCCTGGAACGAGCCAAGCAAGGGGGATGTATGCGAGATCGTCAAGAGGGGCGAGTGAAGCGTGGGGAGAGGAACGGGGGGGCGCCGCTGCAGCACCAAGAGTGGAGGTGCCGGCCAGGTTCTCGGGCGATCAACAGTCAGGACCTTCACTTAAGAACTACTTGATGCAAGTAGGAAACGTGAAGTACCGCTAAGACCGGAATAGCATTGAGCCTGCCAAATACCTTGGAAGGGGAAGCCGAAACCTTGTACCGCATGAGTATGGAGGAGTTGCTGTGGAGGGCAGGGAGGTACGGGGAAGACCCCACTGAAGCATTCTTGGAGCGGTTGCAGCGGCAGTTCCCCGAGCACACGGCGGAGCGGATAAGGGAGTTTCAGGAGTTCAAGAGAGGGAGGGTAGAATCGCTACTGGGATACTACAATCGGCTGATCAACGTAGCAGAGGATGTGAGATGCTCTGACAGCAGCCTCCTCATCAGTAAGTTCCTGGGAGGCCTGGATGAGGCGCTGGGGGGCGGGTTGAGGATGAGGGTGTATGAGCTGGGAGCGGAGGCGAGCCTGGATGATGTGTTTGAGTTGGCAGAAAGGGTGGAGCTCGCGCAGAGAAAATATGAGGCTTACCTGCCGAGGCCGATAGAGAGAAGCCGCAGGCCGACTTGGGCGGCGGCGATGATACCAGAGGACAGGGGGAAGGCAGAGGAGCGAGGAGAGGCAAGAGCTGACACCAGGATATGCCACAGGGGCGGCCAGCCAGGGCACATCCGCAGAGATTGCAAGAACTGTGATGGCTGTGGAAAGCCGGGCCATCGCAAGCGAGAGTGTCCTGATGCCGCCACGTGTGAGATATGCAAGAAGAAGGGACATGAAGCCAAGGATTGTTATCATAGGGAAGGAGGAGCAAGGAGAAACCCGGAGGAGCTGCAGCGGCAGATCAGCAGGCTGCAGGCGCAGCTGCGAGCAACAGGACCGAGATGGGGGGCCGAGGCAAGGATGTATGCTAGAGACGAGGAGGGAGAAGAGGTGGAAGAAGACGTGCAGTGCGCACTCATGGCATGGAGGGGAAGAGAGGAGATGGGGCTGAGGAGCGGAGGGAAAGACGGCAGGCAGGAGCAGGGCAGGAAGGTTCGGGAGAAGGGGCACAAACCAGAGGAGCCAGTGTTGGTACAGATGCCGGCACGCCATCCGCAGGAGAGGCTGGCGTGTCAGACCTCAGTGCTGCTGCTAGAAAGGGGAGCGATGGAGGTGGAGGGGGAGAAGTTGAAGATAGCCATCATAGACACGGGAGCACAGAGTGTGATGCTGGGCAAGGGGATGGCTGAGAGGCTGGGGCTCTTGGCTCCAGAAAGGCACGTGGAGAAGGGGATGTTGGTGATGACGGCCGAAGGAGGGGAGCCGAAGTGGATGCCTTGCACCCGGGCACCCATAGAAGTGACACTGCTGCTGGGAGGGGAGCATGAAACCAAGATCAGGATGAGGTGCGGCATCTCGGAATCAGAGGAGTTTGACGTTCTAGTGGGCACCGAGCTGGTGTTTGCGGTGGGAATGACGATCTGCACCTGGACTGAGAAGGTAGAGTTTCGGACGCGGTACTGGAAGAAGGAGCGGCCATTAGGAGAACTGCGAGTACGGTTCGTGAAGGTGAAACCCAAGAGGGCGTACCAGGCTATGGCAGGACAGGAAACGGAGGCAGGAGAGGCGGGGGAGCAGAGGGGAGCAACTGGGACCAAGGAAGGGCCTAGGATGAGGAGGATGGACGAGCCAAGGCAGCAGAGTGACTGGCAGCAGCCCATCCGCCTGGTGGAACTGTTCGGAGGGATTGGGGCGGGATTAGCAGCGGTGGTAAGAAGTGGGATTGCAGTGCTGAAGTGGGTGTACGTGGAACAGGCGCCAGTGGTGAGAAAAATGGCTGAGCACCACGCCTGGAAGCTGCAGGTCGGAATTCCCAGAGCTCCTGAGTGCGGGGGTGATCCGTGAAGCCATGAGGGGAAGCAGCCATGATGTGGCACGGATAATAGAGGCGGAGGTGGCCAGCTGGGGGCAAGTAGATCTGCTGGTGGCAGGATGAGAGTGCCAAGGGGTATCTTGGGCTGGTAAGGGAAGAGGAAGGGAGGACCCTAGGACGCAGCTGATGGAGGACCTGTTCCGCATCATGGAGTGGCTGCAAGAGAGGCAAGGCAGGGTGGCCTACCTGGTGGAGAATCTGGATCTGGAAGGGGACAGCCGGGAGCCAATACGAGTGGTGAAGGAAAGGATCGAGGAGCAGTTGGGAGAAGGGGTGAGCAGTGATGCGGCCAGAATGGGGTCACTCGCACACCGATTGAGGATGTACTGGCAGAACATCGTCCCGGCACCGAATCTGCAGGAAGAGATAAACGGGGTAATAAGAGCGCCAGGAAGGAAGGTGCAAGACATCCTTGAGCCAGGACGAACCCCAGCGCCGGTGTGCCGAAAGGGCTACAGCAGACACTACCCCATGCAATCAGGTGGGGCAGGACCGACGGGCGTTGCTCACCCTGGTCACCTATGCAGGAGCAGCAGGGTACGCGTGGGCAGCAGGGGAACCGGGCCCAGGGCTGATATACGATCACAAGAAGCAGCGATGGGGGGAACCAACCGCGCTAGAACGGGAGCTGGCCATGGGGTATGGGGAGAACGTGACGGCAGCTCCCGGGGTGAGCGAGGCCGACAGGAGAAGGGCACTAGGGAACGCCATGGACGGCAACATGATGAGATGGCTGATTCAGCGGATGTGGAGAGAGACGGTGGTGAGCTGGGGGCAAGAGTAAGAATAGGGGGACATGGAACCGCGCCCTCAGGGAGCATGGACATGCCAGGAGGAGGAGGGAGAGACGTGGAAGGTAGGGGAGGCAATGAGTGAGGAAGGGAAGGAAGCCATGCAACGACTATTGACCAAACACAGAAAGTGCTTCGCCTTCAACCTGCAAGAGTTGGGAAGGTGCAAGGTGAAGGAGATGGAGTTGAAGCTGAGCATTGCGGAGCCCGTGTTCCATCGGAGGAGGAAGATGCCACATGGGGACGAGGAAATCTGCAAGGAGAAAATCAAGGAGCTGCTGGAAGCTGGGCTGATTAGACGGTCCGAGTCGGAGTACGCCACGCCGACGATAGTAGCTGCGAGGAAGGATCTAACAGGGGAGGTCCTGAGCAGGAGGATGTGTGGGGATTACCGGGCCCTCAACAAGATCACGGTAGCAGACATGTACCCCATGCCGATGGCCGAGGAGATCTTTGACAAGTTGGCGGATGGGGACTTCTTCACGACGTTAGACCTACGGCAAGGGTTCAATCAGATCAAGATCAGAGAAGAGGACATTAAAAAAACGGCCTTCCATGGGCCGGATGGGCTCTACGAGTGGCTCTACATGCCATTCGGGCTGCGGAACGCGTCAGCTGTGTTTCAGAGGGTCATGGATACGGTCCTGCGAGACGTGGAATGTGCAGCATGCTACATAGATGACGTGGTGATCTTCAGTACGACAGTGCAGCAGCATTTGCAGGATGTAGAGAGGACCCTGGCGACAATAGAAGCTGCGGGACTCACATGTCACCCCAAGAAATGCATGTGGGGTGAGGAGACGGTGCAGTACCTGGGCTACGAGGTGAAGGGGGGGCAGATCGAGATCAAGCAGGCCAAGGTGGAGGTTTTGGACAGGCTGAGGGAGCCAAAGGACAAGTCTGGGCTGAGAGCAGTGTTGGGCTTCCTCAGCTATTACAGGAGATTTGTGCCCAACTTCAGTAAACGAGCAGCAGCATTGAATGGGCTGCCGAGGGAGGACAGGGCGTGGGAGTGGGGAGAAGCAAAGAAGGGAGAACTGCAGGACCTTATGACGGCAGTGAAGACGGCAACCGTGTTGCGGCTGCCGGCAGCGGACCAACCGTTCACCCTCTACACCGACTGGAGCAGCCAAGGGATGGGAGGGATACTCTGCCAGGAGGTGAAGGGGGAGGAGAAGGTAGTGGCCTATGCAAGCAGGAGTTGTAACTCGGCGGAGGCGCAATACAGCTCGTACATAGGGGAAGGACTGGCTGCAGTGTGGGCTGTAGGGCATTTCAGAGTGTACCTACAGGGATGGGAGTTCACATTGGTAACGGATCACCAGCCACTGACATGGCTAATGACAACGCCGGGACTGACGGGCAGGAACGCACGGTGGGCAATGAAGCTGCAAGAGTATGATTTCAAGATCATACACAGGCCAGGAAAGACCCTACAACATGTGGACGGCCTCTCCTGGAACCCCCCACAGCTGGAACCGACAGTGACCTTGACGCTCTTGGCAAGGCAGGTGGAACTGAGCGGGGCCAAGGGAAGTAAGGGGGCGGCAGATATTTGGGAGGATGAACCGGCCATGCGGTGGGTGAAGGGGGAGACAGGGGAGGATGAGGAGATGACGGAGAGAGTGAGGGCGAGGGGACATCACTACAGGTGGTATCAGCAGCAGTTACAGATACAAACCGAGGATGGATGGAAGTTGGTGCCAGCACCTAGTGGCAGAGAGGCAGTGATCAAGGAGGTGCACACAAAGCTAGGGCATTTCGGGCATGAGAGGACAGTGCAGCTGCTGAAGACGGGGTGGTGGTGGGAAGGAATGCGGAGGCAAGTGAAGGGCTGGGTGGAGGGCTGTGAGGCATGCCAGAGGAGCAGGGCAAACCTCACCCAAGCCAAGGCGGAGTTGCAGTCCCTGCCTATCCGAGGCCTAGGCTTTAGGTGGTCCTTGGATCTGGCCGGGGAATTGCCTTTGAGCCGGGGGGGTAAGCAGTACATCGTGCTCATGGTGGAGCACGTGAGCAAGTGGCTAGAGGTCAGGGCAATCCCGAGCAAGAGCTCAAGGCAGGTGGCAGCAGCATTCAAGGAGCAAGTGATATGCAGATTTGGGGCGTGTGCTGAAGTCCTCACAGATCAAGGAACTGAGTTCCAAGGGGACTTCAAGAAGCTGCTGGAGGAGGCGGGGATCACTCACAGGCGCACCTCCCGCTACCACCCACAAAGTGATGGGCTGACAGAGCGCCTGGTATAGACCTTAAAGCGGGGATTGCGGGCATATGGGGAGAAGAGGAGGCGGGATTGGGATGAGGAGCTGCATTGGATTGCGGCAGGATACAGGTTTGGGAAACAGGCTGCCTTGAGAGACCACTCCCCATACAGTCTCCTATATGGATGTGAGCCGCCGCTGCCGGTAGGAGCAACTCGGGTCCTCACAGACACAGTGACGGCAGGCACCATAGACAATTGGGTGGCTCTGTCGGAAGCCAGAGCAAGGTACCTGCGGGTGATGATGCCACCTGCGTTGGAAAACCTCCACACCGCACAGCTGAGAGATGCTAGGCGCTATGAGCAACGGTAGCAGCAAGGGGCGGGGATTAGAGCACAGAAAGGAGTGGGCCAGGGGCAGGAGGTGTACCTAAGGAAGGCAAAGCAAGATACCTTGGACGTTGGGGTAGGAACAGAAAGATGGAGGGTGAAGGAAGTACGTCCCTCAGGGATACTGGTGTTGGAGAACGAGAAGGGGGCACAACTGAAGGAACACCAGACCAACACGGCTGTGGTAAAGGGCAGCAAGCCTCAGCAGAGTGGTCCTGTGACGCGAGCTCAAGCTGCTCGAGCACGGGCACAGGAGGGGGCAGGGAGTGAATGAGGCAGAGCGACACAGAGAAGGACGAGGGAGGGAGACAACAAGGAAGAGAGCAGGTGCTGTAAGGGACAGAGTTGGGGTTGGAAGGAGTGTTGATCTCCGACAGGGGGCAGTGAGTGACTGAGGCGGAGCAACACGGAGAAGGGAGGAAAGAGGAAGCAAGCACGAAGAGCAGGTGCTGGAGTGGGATTCTCCGACAGCTGTCACCGAATA